TCTATGCATCATCCATACTGTGCTACATCTGGGGAGATCGGGGAGAGCTTGCATGAGCTCCATCACACTCTAAACATTCTATTTTCTCTGTGTAGGAATGCTCTCCCTCTCATCCTTATTTATGTAACTTACAGTTACATTCAAGACTTAGCTTAGCAACTACTTTAAGAAGTGTTTCCTACCCTGGCATTCTCCTCCTTCCTTTTGGATTGATTCAAATAGGCATTCTCTGTATCCCACAGCAACCAGTGTTTTCATAGCAATAATGACACTGCATATGTATATTTTCTTGTCTGTCTCTCTAATTAGATACTCATCTTCTAAAGTAAAGTACCATATTTTCCTTATTTCTACATCCTCTGAGTTCCAACTCATAGTAGTTACTCATTAAATATTTAATAGGCAAATGGACTATAATGGAGTGGGTTCTAAAGTTAACACATAGATTATGAGGTATAACCAAAATCATCCTTGGAAATTCCTTAGGAAGGTACTACACTGAAGACCAATATACTGTCTCAATATAGTTAAGCTCAGCACAGTTTTTCCTCTAGCATTGAAATAATATAGTTTCTTTAGATGAACACCTCTACTTACAATGCACTTAATGACAATGTTTTATAAAAACTATGTATTTTTAAGCACTAGAATTTATATCCCATGAAACTCTAAGGATGGCAAGTAGAAACTGACGTGGAATAAAAGAATAGCAAATTTCTCTCTCATCTTCAGGTCACTCTGAATATACTCAGCAAGCGGAATGGCAGAATCACCATTTCCTTCTTTCCTTCCCTTCCACTCTCCTTCCTCCCCTCCCTCTCTCCCTCCTTCCCTCCTTCCTTCCTATTTATCTATGTTATCTCTTGCTGGGCCTATTTCTTTGAATTCATATAAATTAAATAAAATTATTATATGACTCCATTGTACTGATACGCCTATAAGCAGCCACTGTTGATTTTTCGCAACCAGTATTTCTCTCATAATCTACTTCCACCAAGATTATGTAGTGCTTTAAACAATATTGGCAAATGCAGGGATAATAACAAGCACGGCCAGGAGCATGCTAAACTCTTGTGCGGTCTATCAGGCTGAAAGAAGTCCAGATAGTCACAAAAATGTGAAGAAAGTATAAGAAAAGAAATGTCTCAGCTGTTGATCTTATGCTTCAAAATAAACATTCCAGAACATAGGCTAAAAGAATACTATTGCTAATTAAAAATCAACAGACAATAAATATGAATTGAGTGAAAACTTAGCTAGTTATAATTAACTTCAATGGGTCCACTAAAGAAGCCTATCTCTGGGCAAACACTGGACAGAAAGAGATTTGAGGATGCTGCCATTTGGGTGAGTACTATCAATTTACCAGAGCTTACTTTTCAACAGGCTAGTATTCTCTGCTCAAGTTTCCTAGATACCACACAGACATTCCACATTTGGGAAACTCATGGTGTATCAATAAGTGTTGGTATGGATTGTTTGTATGAATTTGTAGATTTCTGTACTTTAATTCTCTCTACTTCAATCTCATCTCAAAAACGTAAGTTCTACATTTAGTAGTTTTTCTACAGCAATTGAGTTTTCTGCATTTCTAGGAAGCATCCCTGAGCAGAATAATGGCATGGTGAACCTAAAGCAAAACCAAAATAAAATAAGTCACCATAAGCATATACTGAATACAGATTTCCTTCTCAGATAAGTTTAATAGGTGAAATAATCCCATCGCTAAAGAAAACCATCTGGCTAGTCTGAAAATATGCTTTTGTGTAAAAAAAAACTTTTTTAACAGTCATCAATTGATTAATCGCTGAAGTACTCTAGGTTTAGAATAAAAGCGCAGGTGCCACCTAGCTCCCTCTACTAAGCTTCTAGGCAGCTTCCCTTCATCCCACCATCCAAAATTCTTCTTTCTTTCCTGTGAAGTCCCATGGTCCTTAATCTATGCTTCTGATAAAAGTGATAATTATCACTTTACACTTAGTATAAATTTTGTACCTAATCTTCCCCACTAGATCATAAACTCTTTGAGGGTAAAAGTTATGTTTAATTGAGGTTTGTATGCCCCATAGTATCTACCAGCGTGCCCTGCTCATAATAAATATGTACTTTATAAATACACTCAAAGATACTTCCCCCTGAAAAAACATTTTCAGCTTTTTTTCTAAAGTAAACTATATACCATATTACTTTCTATTTTTCTTCCTATTTCTCAGCAGTTCCTAGTTTACCACTTTTGCTAACTTCTTTCATCCCTGTTCCCTGAGGGAATCTGTTCATCTATTCACTTATTTACTCATTCAAAACATCCAATAAATATTTGAAGGTGCCAGAGTTATACCAGTTAGCCCCTTAGGGAGCTCTGAGTCTAGTAGGAAAGATAGACAAGTAAATACATAATTATAAAACAATGTGCTAATTTTTGTAATAGATGCAAACACATGATACTGTCTAAGAGTACTTCTGCAATTTAAGAGTGCTTGTCCAAGATTTTGCCTGCAGTTTATCATTTCCCTACGTAATATCCTCTCCCCTGGTCATCCATCTATCCATCCCTCCATCCATCTGCCTGCCTATCTTCCTTCCTTCAACTTTAATACACAAAATACAAAAGCTGCACAAGAATAAATAAGTGAAAAATAAGTTGTCCTCCCATCTTTTCCCCAGTGACTCAGCTTGCCTTCCCAAAGGTAAGCAATAATGTCCAGTACATAATTTCAGAGATACTCAATGTATACACAGACATATATACACATATATATGGTCTTACTTTAACACAATAGAAGCATACTTTATATTCTGTCTGCACCTTGTTTTTCTTATTTCATAATATATCTTAGAAATTGCCTTGTCTCAGCCCATATTGGGCTACCTCATTCTTGTTAATGGATATAAAGTATTTCACTGCGTGGATGTAACACTGATTAAGCAGTCTCCTTACTGAATGCTCATTTAAGGTACTACAATAGTGCAATGAATATATTTATCCATATATTATTCTGTGGTATATTTGTGAGTATGTTTGTAGGATAAATTCCTGGAAATGAAATTGCTGGGTCCCAGAATACGTGCTGTTTTAATTTTGATAGATACTAACATAGAAGTTTCACCAATTTCATTTCCCACAAAATAGGAAATATCCACTTCCATAACTTAAGTTACAGTCTTTATGGGAATTGCTCCCAAATCTGTATCCATATTCTGACCCTTTATTTATTCTCTGTGATATCTCCACATATGTTTTTCTTAGAACCTTAGGAAAAAGCTTTTCAAACCCAAATATATAATTTTACCCTTAACACATTCTTAATAAACTCACTGTATATATTAATTTTCCTGATCCCAACCAAAAGTCACTTTTGATATGTCTTTTTTTAAAATAAATTTATTAATTTTATTTATTTATTTTTGGCTGTGTTGGGTCTTTGCTGCTGCACGTGGGCTTTCTCTAGTTGTTGCGAGCCAGGGCTACTCTTCGTTGCGGTGCACATGCTTCTTATTGCGGTGGCTTCTCCTGTTGCAGTGCATGGGCTCTAAGCCTGTAAGCTTCAATAGCTGTGGCATGAGGGCTCAGTAGTTGTGGCTCACGGGCTCTAAAGCGCAGGCTCAGTAGTTGTGGTGCACGGGCTTAGTTGCTCTGCGGCATGTGGGATCTTCCCGGAACAGGGTTTGAACCTGTGTCCCCTACGCTGGCAGGCTGATTCTTAACCACTGCACCAGCAGAGAAGTCCCATGCCTGGGCTATTATAATCTAACTACTCAACTTCTTCCTCTGTGCTTGCCTACCAGTGATTCTGCTCATATCTTCCTCTCCACCTGAAATATCCTCTCAAATCAGTTCCCCTGATGAAATCTCATTAAGCCTACCCTAAATGCTAGATCATCCATAACACATTTTCTTTTATGAATTTATTAACACTTAGGTCTTTCACTATATAATAATACACTTGTAAGATAAATTTAAAGCTCTTTCACTATATATTCTAATTTGTAATACAGTTATAAGATAAATTATAAATTCTTAACACATTTGGATAAACTCACACTGCCAAGGCACTCAAAATGTGTTTACCAAATGAACGAATGAATTTTTTGCAATGGATTAATTCCTATAAGTCTGATAATTCTATAGGGGAAAATATTGTATAAGGGCTATTTTCTTCTTCCTTCCTTCCCTCCTTCCTTCCTCCCTCCCTCCCTCTCTTTCCCTCCCTTCTTTGTTTCTTTCTTTTCCTCCCCCCCTCACCCTCTCTTTTCTTCCATTCCTCCTTCCCTCTCTTCCTTCCCTCCTTTCAGATAATAAGACTGTTTTAAGGTCTGTGAGATACAAGCCCTTATTTAATAATTAAACTTATTTCAGAACACTCACAATGTGAAATATTTCCAGTTAACTAGTGCAGTTAATTACATTTTCCCTTCGCATTGATTTTGATCAAATATAGGGAGGAGAAAGAATAAAGCAATAGGTGAAATATACTACTAAAATGATTGAATTTTCCTTCAAAACTACAAAATTCCTTAAAAATCCCTTACATACAGTCAAAGTTATTCTAACTACTATGTAGAAGAAGGCAGAACTCAACCACAATGTGCCTATGGCCTATTGTTAAGCAGAGTTTAAAATGCACAAAATAATTTTTCATAAGTTTCACAAATCTTTAGGAAGAACTATGTAAAGCATCATAAACCCTCTATTTCTGGTTTTCAAAATTAAAAACCATGATTTTAAAAATCATATCTGTAGTAACATTTTTTTGCATTTAAAAAATTTAGAAAAAAGAGTATGATTAAACGTTCCTATACATAGAAGTCATTGTAAAAAATAAATGATCCTTATATTTCATTAGAAAATTATTCAGCTCCCATTTACTAAAATAGTAGAAAGAGCTATACAAATCCCTATCAAGAAGTAGAGAACTATTACAACTTGTATTGTAAATAAGTTTTAAAAAATAACAATACTACCATGCAAATGCAAGTGCTGGTTATACTTCTTGACTCACCTCTCCCCCATTAACATATTCCATCACAAAACACAAACGGTCTTTTGTCTGGAAGGAATATTTCAAGGACTTGAAATGAAAAAGAAAAAATGTTATATTATAATCCTACATTCTTACAATGGTATCAAAAAGAGAATACTTAGAAACAGTAAGCATGATTGATAAAATGAATTGTTTTGTTCCTTAAGAGTGTATTTATTCCCTTAAGAATGCTTAAGTAAAAGTTTATGAGAAATATAAAACAAATTTTGTGAAGATCAGCAATGAGTATTATTTGGGGAAAATTAGAATTATGATTTTTACTAAAAATAAACTTAGTAATTGTTATGAGCACTTCTCAATCTACTATGTCATCTACTTGAAACTGTATTGGTCCCTAAATTTCTTATCCATGAGACCTTAAAAGTAAGGCCTACAAATTACTTCAGGGAAAGTCTTAGGAGTACAGTTATAGTGGTTATACTTGGGTTTCTAATATAGTTTCAGTATCACTTCTTGCATAGAGGTCGCATTACATGACCCAATCCAATAGAGTTGTTGCAGATAATCTTATAGGTTATAAAGATATTAAAACTTTAGAGCCAACTATCTTAATACACTGAAAAATAAACATACAACAATGTAACAAAGTAAGTCTATGTATCTGGTGATACCTCTGAAAAAACCTACTAAATAATCCTAAATCTTTAAAAGTTTCTCCTTTTGAAAGTCTGTTATTTTTTTTTATTTTTTATTTTTTGCGGTACGCAGGCCTCTCACTGTTGTGGCCTCTCCCGTTGCGGAGCACAGCCTCCGGACGCACAGGCTCAGTGGCCATGGCTCACGGGCCCAGCCGCTCCGCGGCATGTGGGATCTTCCTGGACCGGGGCATGAACCTGTGTCCCCTGCATCGGCAGGCGGACTCTCAACCACTGCGCCACCAGGAGAGCCCTGAAAGTCTGTGATTTTTAATCTTAATACACTTCATTGGAACCAGGAACATACAGAAACTTTGCAAATTATGCCTCTATTACAAGCAATCTAAACAGGACTAAAAAAAAAATCAGTCTGTTTCAAAATAACTAAGTTATATGTATTTAAGTCACAGTTTATACTTTATCTAATGAAGAAAATGTACCATGACTTATCCTATTTTTAACTTAAATGCTATCTTTAAATTTATTTTTAAATGTATTTGCTCTATTTTTTTAAGGCAGTGAAAGTTATGGGAAGAAAAAAAAAATCTCAAAAAACTCATGGGTATATAACGAGAGGACTACAAATGCATGCATATTGTAAACTTAATCCATACATTCTAATAATTTCCCCCAAACTGACTTATCTACAAAGAAAATGTCATACCTAAATAAATGTTATTTAAAATGTTATTTTTCATAGCTTAGATTCTATAATTAAACTCCCTTAAATATAAAATGTTATAACATCTTTCCTCTAAGCACTTACTGTTAAAAAGGGATGTCTAGTGTTCTTTAATACTCTGCTTTCAGTTAAAGTGTGTGCCACTTCATCCTACAAAAGAAAAAGGCAAACCTTTAATATATGTTCTGAGCACAAATAATATAAAAATTTTGCTACTTCTCTAAGACCAGAAGAGGTAAACACAGACACAGAAAAAGATTTTAAAACACATGCTCCCTTTATTGCTAAGCTTCTCTTCCACCAAAAAAAAATCAAATTAGTGATTTAAATCAGATGGCTATAATGTATAAACTCATATAAGTTCAGTCATACTTAAAGTATAGCAATAATGATATAATAATCAGCAAAAATTATCAGGGACACAGAAAATGAAATAGTAAGCCTTTCCCCTTGAAGAGAATGCCTTATAAGTTAACAGCTAGGCATGGAGTAGTTAATATTTCCATGTCTGTATTACATTGTATTCAGGGGGATTTAAAGGATATATTCCATTAAAGATCATAGAATTTGTTGCAAGTCTTCTACCTAAAAGAAAAATCAGTTATTGAAAAGGGGGACACAGTACCTGTATAAGATTTAATTCTTAAAAAAAAAAAAGATTTAATTCTAAATTATACATTTTAGAAATAAAAACAGAGTATAAAAGCTGTATATTTTTGCTTGTGGCTTTTTTAGCATGCTTCTTTTTTTTTTTAAAAAAAAGGTCACAGCCTATTCTAGGTGACACTTTTTAAATCTGCATATATTTCAAACCAAAAATACACTAAGAGTGTATTTCCCCAATCTTGTACATAAATTTCATCTTGACATCAAAAGTGAACTAGGAAAGATTTCCTCAACATATGGAGAACTGGAAAAATGTTTCATATTTTAAAAATAACACTATCTTAAAGAATGAAAGGAAAGGAAGACAACTGCTGAAACTAACACAGCATCTCTGGTCTCTGCTGCTGCCAAGATCCTGAACAAGGCCCTTACTGGATCAATTTCTTAATATTGCTGGCAAATCACAGTTAGGTTATAAGTAAGACAAGGGAACATTAGGACACTGCATTATATTTATTATTTTTATAAAAGCATCTGACCTTAGTTAGACTTAGCAGATAAATGAGCAATAGACTGATCAAAGATGCTAAAATCCAAAACCCATTCCAAGAGGGAGAGACCAATTCTGTCTGAACAGAAAGTAAAGTGTAATGACATAGTATTTAAAACCAGTGAAATAAAGTATGGGTAAGAAAGCATTCCAGTCTTATTTGTTTAATAAGAACCAGGCTTAAGTGCTCAAACAGTATGAAAGTCCCTGTCATATCATACTATAACTTCTAAATTAATTAAAGTAATATCAAATATCTTAATACAAAATAAATAAGCAGAAATGACACCATAACTAATTTCTGTGCCCATAGTGCCTAGCATAATGATTAGCATACAGTAGGTACTTATTAATGTTTGTTGAACTTAGCTGTTTATCATAGGAATGAATTCCAATATGTCAAATGTGTGGGACTTCACTCATTCAATCATTTATTCCTTCAATAGATATGAAACAAATATATTCTGGGTATTGTTCTACCCATTGAAGAGAGGCCAACTGAACAACACAGACCAAAGTCCTGCCCTCGTGGAGCTTTCATTCCAGTTAGTCAGATGGTGGTCAGTATTAATGGAAAAAATAAAAAAGAGAAGGGGATACTGCAGTTTATGAGAATCATATAATGAATGTAAAATATAAGATTAAGGATTATACAGTGGCTATTTTGAGATATAGAACTGAATTCAATGATTAAAAAACCAAATCCTCGATATGCATTTACTTAATGTTAAGACAGTGCAAGTATAAAGTGGTTTAAAAAAAAGATATGATTCTTTTGCTCATGGAGTTCACATGCTAGTGGACAAGACATAACAAATTGGTAAATATCCAATTTAAGAAATAATTACGAATTCTGATAAGTGATCTGATTTTCTTAAGGGAAAACTGGGGTATCTACTATAGTAAATGGGATAATGAAGGAAAATCAATGCTACTGGAAGATCATAGGTTGGGTAACGTGATGGTGTAGGCGATGGAGGATCAGAGGCCCACAGCTGATTTCTGTTTTTAAGTTTGCTCAGCCTCCTCTGAGAAGGACAGCAAAAACAGGAGGGATCAATCAGGAGACAACTGCAGTACAAGAGTGAAATGAGGATGGCCTGGATGACAGGAACAGCAGGAACAAGAAAAAATGTTTGGAGTATTTTTGAGATATAAAATTAATAGTAAAAAACTAACAGCTATATGCTTCCAACAAGAGGGTAAAGCAGAAGAAATATTTCTTTATATGCAGTCAGAAAGAGATTCACAGAAGACATAACATTTACCTATTTATACTTCACGATTTTAAGGGATTTGAGGCAGTGAACTAGGAAAAGACTTAAAGAAAGGTAAGTATGAAACCAGAAAAGATATTCTAGTACTTCAGAAAATATTTCTGGCAGATATTTCATTCTATTTTGTTGAAACAAACTCATTATATGTAACAGTTGTTTTTCTAAATCACTTTGTAAGTTTCATGAAAGATTATATTTTTTCTAAATTCTATGATCTGCCTAATCACATTAAAGGAGCCAAGTAAAGATGTAGGTAGGCAAAAGCTAAAAGCAATATTTCTTTGTTGTAAGAATGAAACCAGAATTAATACCATGTACATATCTTTCATGTATTAAAATGTATTTTCTACCATATTTTTACATCTGATCAAATTAGAATTTCCCCCTTAATGCAAATTTAATGGTACAATATTTCACATACTAATTAGTTTCTGCTATGAAGATAAGGTATGCACAAGCTAAAAAGTAAACACAGATGTCAATAATTTTTAATTACAGTTAAAAGCAATATGTCAAAACAAAAAGTTATAAATAACAGTGATAAAGCTTAGTGGCTAAAACAATATGATGCTTTTTAAAAAATCCATTTGTTGATCATGATTACAAATGAAGAGTGCTTCGGTATATAATGTAAGTATAATGTTTTCATGAAAAAGCTTTTGAAATATAGTTTCATGTATATTCATCCATGGTAAAATACTAAACAATGAATTTTAAAATCTAATTTCTTTCATAGAAAGAAGTTTACAGAGAATGGAATTTTATTTCTTGCAAACATGAGGCAGAATAGTCTTCCTCGTATTTATTTTCTCAATTGTCTCTAATTTATCACTGCCCTCTACTACACAGAGTTTAAAATTCTCCTTTCATTTGCCGCACTTATTGTGTTGTGGTAGTTAGGGGTTGTTTTTGGAGGGGGCACAAGGAGTAAATGACGGCAGAGAAACAGAAGAAAAGAACATTTCTATTACTGAGGACCAAGGGTGTCATCTCCTTTAATCCTTGTAGTAACTGAGCAGGTTTGGTTTGACTATTCCCATTTTATATGAGGCAATCAAGGTTCACAAAAGTTAAACTGCTCAAGTTGCAGGTGAAAAGGTCAATATTGATCCCATCTAAGTCCAACATCAATGGTCATTTCCACTTCACCACACTGTCTCCCATCTTCAAAAAGCCTGGTACCAACTTAACTAGGTACTTTAACTCTGTTCACATTATTTTCTCCATTTTGACAAGACTATAATGACTGACTTTTATCAGAAGCTGGTTGAACTCAAGATACATCATATCTAAAGTATCTTTTTTTTTTTTTTTTTTTTTTTTAATCCAGAGCTATAAATGACACTCAGAGGAGGAGATGTAGCAGGTGGGGAAGCAGAGAGAAGAGGGCAGAAGTTTTTACCTTGGCACCTTTATTCTTAATTAAACCACAAGGACTACAAGTGATCATTATTTACTTGTTCTGTTTTGACAAGCCGTATGTCAGCAATCTATACTTTTTTCTTCCGTAGCAAAGATGTCATACTTATCAAGCTCTAAATTTTGGGGTTGTAACTTCCCCCTCTTTGGAAAACTTGAGCAATGGCCCAGACGCAGACTTCTAATACTTCCACTCTCCAGCTCTCACACTTTCTCCTCACCGTTCCTTCATTTCTATTGCTATTACCTTTTTTGAAGATCTTTTTCATCTTGATGGAAAAAATGAAAGCACAATTGTTCCCTGTTGTCTATGAATATTATATCACCTTTATCAAATGTTGTTATTTGATACTTAATTTTTTTTTTTTTTTGTGGTACGCAGACCTCTCACTGCTGTGGCCTCTCCCGTTGCGGAGCACAGGCTCCGGACGCGCAGGCTCAGCGGCCATGGCTCACGGGCCCCAGCCGCTCTGTGGCATGTGGGATCTTCCCGGACCGGGGCACGAACCTGTGTCCCCTGCATCGGCAGGCGGACTCTCAAAAGCTGTGCCACCAGGGAAGCCCTAATACTTTATTCTTGATGCTCTTGTTCCAAATATCGGGCTGGCCAAAAAGTCTGCTTGAGTTTTTCATATGATGTTACCGAAAAACCCAAACAAACTTTTTGGCCAAACCAATGTTACTTGGATGGAGGGCTACATGAACTTCTTTCACTTCAGTCATGACATAATCTTCAGCACCTAGTCCTTCTTAAATTGTAGAACATGCTGCTTGTCTATATTGCCCTTCACTACATTCCCTTCTTTCCTTCTGCATCTTCCAATTCCCAGTATTGGAATACATCAATCTCTACTTTCTCACTTTTATTGATATATTCCACATCTCAAGGGGAATAAAATCACAAACATACTGACTAGCACCATTATAATGCCCTCTCTAATCTCAGCTGAATCTTCTTAGGATTCTTTAACTCATCCCTACCAAGGTCATTCTTCCATTCCTCAGTATGAATGTTTCAAAACTTTCCCAGGCCTCCTACCAGGCCTGGTATGTATAATGAAATGTACACACAACCCCACAAAGTTACCTTACCTAGTTAAACTACTGAGCTGAGATTGGCACCGAGGTCTATCTGACTTTTATTAAGCCCAGGAGATTTTCATTAAGTTGTCTTTCTTTATCTCAACCTCACTCCCACAGTTTCATCCTACTTCCTACTCAGAATAGAGGTCATTAACCTCTTACCTTCATAGGTATACTCATTCCCTTGGTGACTTCATTCAGACTATGACCCTAAA